ATTTCTCTGAGACTATACATGCCACAGTTTTAAGTCTGGATGTCCTGTACAGAGCACATTCAGGGCTTTTCAGAGATACTAAATGTTTGGATGTTTCACTATGACCACTCCCTCTCCTTGGTCTTCAAATATGTCTGATATTAATTTAGTGACACTCTTATGGAAATATGATAATATTTTGTAATTGTCATTTAAATCGGACAAATTTTTAAACTGTGTGTCATAAATCAACATCTCAGGAAAATGTTATGGGGTTTCAAATCAAATATGACTTTCTGTTATGAAACAGGAGGTTGATTTCATACATGTCCTCATATGAGGACACCGGGACTAAAAGCATGTTTATTATGCATTTTGTGAGACAACAAATTAAAAGGGAAAGAAAATATATTTCAATATTCCTATGAAATATTATATATTATTATGAAAATCTTGTCAATTATTACTCTCAATATTACACTTATTTTTTCATTACATGTTGCCCCAAAAATACATTAATATGCTAATTAGATTTAGTTTATAGATACATTGTATATAATGAGAGAACCTGTTTATGGCCATTTTACACACATTTTGCAGAAAGAAAAATAGTATATTGAATCATTCTGTTATAACATAGTTGAGAATCATCTTTATACAAAGTTTGATAAAAAAAAAATCTTGAAAACTAAAAATGTATTGGTGATTTAAAAAATCAATTGTTTTTGCCTATGCATGTTCATTCATGTCTTTTTATTTTTTTTATAGAAATTGAATCCCGATGTCCTCTACCGAGGACATAGCATAACTTATTAATGAAATATCTTTTTTTAATATATATATATATTTTTTACATTATTTTTAATGCTCTAAACAATGTAAAGACATGGAAAAAACTAACTTTTTCCTAAAACTTTTTTCTCGGGTCTTAAGAGGCTAAAATATCTAAAACTGAAATAAAATGAATAAAAACTATAGACAGCATAGAAAAAAACTACTAAAATTGCAAAAACAATAAAATGACTAAAACTTTAACATTAAAATGAAAGCGGAAAATATAAAAATATCAATAAAAACTATAATAGTATCTCAATTATACAAAAATAACACTATTCTAAAGTACATTTATCACTATAATAGACCATGAGTTGCATAGAAACCCCCCAGAAAGAAGCAGAAAAACTAAACAAATTCTATTTGGTAATAAACAATGCAGTTTCTATTTTCAAAGTATTTTTTAAATGTTTTATTATTTGCTATTATATATAGAAATCTTTTATACTCTCCAAGGCTGCATTTATTTGATCGAAAAATACAGTAAAACCAGCAATATTGTGAATTATTATTACAATTTAAAATAATTACTTTCTGTTTTGATATATTTTACACTCTAAAAAATGCTGGGTTAAATATAACCCAGCGGGGTCTGAATACTTTCCGTACCCACTGTATATAGCGTATCACCATTCAGTGTGTTAAAAAAATGCTTGCGCGTGCCTCAAAAGAGGGCTTACAATGACTTACAAAGACACATAACAGCTACAAGTGTACGCACTACTTGCTTTATGCAAGCACTATATAGGATAAATCACTATAAAGGATTTACCCTATTATACTTTATCGACACGAATTGATAGATGAAACAACAAACAGCCACAAATAGTCAATAATAGTCTATAAACAAAATAGTCTATACCCATGTCTTATTAAGGGGAGCCGAGCTCCCCCTAGCTCCCCCGTAGTTCGCACCCTGAATTTATTCCTGTGATGCAAAACTGAATTTTCTGCAACCATTACTCCAGTCTCCAGTGTTACATGATCCTTCAGAAATCATTCTAATATGCTCAAGAAACATTGATTATTATGATCACTTTTGATTAATTTAATGCATCCTTGCTGAATGAAAGCATTCATTTATTTAAAAAGAAAAAAAAAACGTAGTCACCCCAAACCTTTGAATGGTAGTGTATGTTTTTCCATATTTTTCTATAAATAAATAAATTATACATTTCTATAAATAAATACATTTTTATGATTTTGTCTGAATGTGACAAAATGTGTTCCTCTCTACTTCCTGTTTCCAAACTAGCCTGAGGAATGAGCCTTGAGTTAGTGAGTTGTCTCCAGTCTGTGCATTCATTCCTTTCCTTCCTGCCTTTGTGTTTTCCTGTGGCCGAATCCGTGCTTTATCTCTGACTGTGTCAGACAGTCTATCTGTATAGGTCTTCACAACCACCCCTCCCCACCCCCTATCGGCACACACAGGGTCACATGACCATCCTTCTGTTCAGCAGATGGGTTCCCCTTGATGCTTGTTTTCTCTCATAGCCTCCTCTGATTGGCCGAGGCTCTCTGTGGATGCTGCGTCGGCCAATTACGCATTGCTGAATGAGGTGGGTTTGCGAAGCATTGAGCAGCAGCATCACGCCAGGAGAAACGCACTGCTCCTCTGACTCCACTGAATTAATCATAGCAGACAGCCTAAGCAGCAAGGCATTGTGGGCCAGCCTGCGTCCCCCCAGCATCAGAGCTGTTCTGGAACACTCTATTTCTGCATTCACTTAGTTGCTTCTGGATAGTTCTCTATACGGATAGTCATTATTCCTATATATTTATATCTCTCACTTCCTCTCCCCTCCTGAAATGGCTCACCTGGGACTCATAGGGCAGGAAGGCGATGTTGATCTCAGTTAGGGTTTTAATGGTTTTCGAGGCACGGCTCTTCACCACTTCATTAAAAAGGGGGTCCGGGCAAGCTGTAAGAAACACATGGGTAGTTGACATAACATTTCAAGCAATGACAGCAGTTTATTGAGGTTTTGACATGTTATACATTATAAAATATTTCCAAAATCACCTGCAATACTTCTGCAATAAAATCTCCAATAGAAAATCAGCTGCAATATTTATTGCATATTTAAACTTTTATATACAAAATATTTGTAAATTTATATTAAATAATATATAAATGTATAAATAATATATACAGTGTGCAATATATATAATATATATGCAATATATACACATATATGTTTAACGTACGTATCATGGATGCAGTTGTAAGTTTTTTTTTTTATGTATTTTGTGTATATATTTATTTTTGTTTTTTTTATTTTTGTTATACTTTGTTTTTTAAGTGCTTCATTTATTATTTTAAGATTTTATTTTATTTCCTTTTTATTTATTTTTGTAACAAAGTAACAAATAATTAATTGTCAGACTAATTGTAACAGCACATTAATTTATGATTAACTCCAAAATAATTCAGTTAATTTATAGTTGTCATAGGAAAGTGCTGATTTGCCTTTATATCTGATGTTACACAGCATTGTGTTTAAATAAGATTCATTAAAAATATTGTCTTGCTGATTGCTTGTGTAGTAGTCTAGTTTTGATTGTGGTCCCAGTGTGTATTATGCTTGCAGGGCTCTTGGAAGTACAGTGGAGTACCCTCAGATACTCACAGTCAGTAAAGAACACATGAGCCGCTTTATATTTCGCTGAATGGGGATCTTTGAAGTCATTGATGAGAGTCTGCACAGACTGGTAAGAGAAATACAACAAGCTTTACATAACACTGTGTTTGTGTTTTGTGTTGTTATAGTAACCAAAATGGCCAGTAGAAATAAGAGTTTCAGGCTGTTTGCGTAGGCTGTGTAAATACTGTGTGTGTATATATATATATACAGTATATGTGTGTTAGTGAGTGACATATGTTTAGTGTGTACAGTGTGAAGGTTCCGCCTCCACACTGAGAGACGAAGTCTATGCTGGAGGTTTTATTTTAGCCTCTTCTAAAATCAGTGTGTTTGAGTACCTTCTCAGTTGGGGTGATCAGGTAAATTGACTCCAATGAAGGGAGAGGCTCTCTTCGCTTGTTAATGTCTTCAACAACTGCAGAGATAAGAGTAGAAACAGCAAGTCAGTCACAGAAGCAGCTTCTCTGATACAGGGTTATATTCATTAACCTTTTGGTTAGTTGAAATAAAGCTGAAATAAAATAAAATATAAATATTAGATGAAAACCTTTAACTTCAAATATTTGAAATGTTGCCTTGGCAGCTAACTGAAATCAATTTGTGTTGAAACACCAAATTATTAACTGTAAATAAATAAGAAAATATATATATATAAAAAAATTAAACTTAAAAAAATAAAAATAAATTAAACTAATAGTAATATTAAAAAAAGCACATCATATAAAAAATGTAAATGAAAACTGAAAAAAATTGGTCACATATGGTTAGCTAAACTGTTTTATTTTTAGAACGATGGTCATTAGATATTTTCGTGATTTAATCAGATATTTGTTCACCTATTGTAAATCTATTCGGAGCTGTAGGGGGTTGCAACTGTTATGCCTAACAACGCCTTTTAGCCATGACTATTCATAATATAGCAAAACATCTTGTAACCTATTGCTAAATTAAAGATAATATGATGCTTTCCAGATTTGTTCTTTTGCAGACATCTCATTGACGTATGTGTGCTTAGTTAGGTTGTTGATATGAGATGTTTATTTCCATCTGGTCACCATTTTCCGGCATTTATATGAAAGTTTCAGGTTTAGAGATCAGTTCTGAATTGAGATATTTTTGTGTCCTATGAGCCTTAGACTAATTGTTAGCAACAAAGGGGAACTTTTTACTTCACTGGGGGTCAAAACCTGAGGATTGACTTACTAGTGATGCCCTCTGTCATGATATCAGTCATTTTGCAGCAAGAAGACAACATCCTCATGCTGAGCTGGTCCACTATCAAAGCCTACAGAGAAAAAGAGAGAGCAGAAATAATGGGAGAGTCTCAGAAACGCACATGACTGCAACAGTAAGGGCTGCTTCACCCACAGTACCACGCTGCTTATGCAGGCAGTGTGAAAACTGTAGTTTATTAATATGGGCACCAAAATAAATATGCATGTGGTGTGATACAGGCAGTATAGGATGGATGAAATTGTTTGGGCTTAATTATTCACACTGATTTCCTGTCTGTGACTCGGGGACTCAATTAAAGATTAAAACTGTGGTGACGTGACATAAGGATAGCGTGGTTGCTATGGTGATGGGGTGAATGAGTTTGTCTTACCTTCCATTCTCCCTTCTTCTTCACCTTCTTGATGACATCATTCATAATCTCTGCAGGAAGAAGAGAAAAGTTCATCAAACATCTGATATTAATGGTTCATACACGTCTCTGACTTGTCATTTCCATTATTAAACCACACATACATGCTGTATTAGTGATACATATTATTCCAGTTTAAAATAACTTTTTTCTATTATAATATTTTTTAAAGTGTCATTTATTACTGTGATGGTAAAGCTGAATTTTCAGCATCATTACTCCAGTCTTCAATGTCACGTGATTCTTCAGAAATCATTGTAATATGTTGATTTGCTGCTCAAGAAACATGTCTTATTATTATCAATGCTGCTATTTTAGATTTAGTGTAAATAGCCGCTGCCTTAATTTAATAGTTCACTGCCTGTTTAGAACAGCTCTAGATTTATCATAGGACATAAAATCATAATGCAATTAAGAGCTGCATATGTGTCTGAATCATACACAACAAAACACTGCACTATATTTCACAGGAACCAGCTTGTGTGTTGGTTTATAAATGATGTTAATGGCTACAGAAGTGTAGGAGGCAGATAAATATCTTACACAATCAAAAATATGAAGGTATTAGTGATGACACAATGTATATCTCTCTACATCACTCCCTTTATCATCTCACCCACCTGCTCCATTGCCATGCAAAGCCTCTAGCACCTGTCGTGTGTGTGTGTGTGTGTGTGTGTGCTGTCCCCGTCACACCTGAGCCTGACTGTGCCCGCTGGTCCTCTATTAAAATGGATTATCTCACTCTCTTTTGCTTTCGATCTCTCTCTCTCGCTTTTTCTTCAGCAGAGTTTTTTTTTTGGCATATGTTACATCAAAATTCATAGACACGCCTCTCAATAAATGGACACTCTGACTGCTGAAAAAGAATCGTATTCAGTTTATCTGGTCATGCAGTTAATATTAACACTGATCAGCCGTGTAAATCCAGGTGGGCAAGACTGGCTGAGCTCCACCCAGGCTCTTATGAAACACTACCCATCCAATCACTGAAATAACTCACAGTTTGGAGATATAAAGTCACAATTAAGAAAAAAGGCAAAATTGTCAAATTCTCAGATATAAAGTCACGAGTGCGAGATCTAAAATCCCAAATAAGAGGGGAAAAAAGGCCAATTGTGAGATATAGTCACAATTATTTGAAAAAAAATAAATAAATAAATTGTGAGATTTAAAGTGACTATTATGAGATAAAAAGTGCCAATTGAGATATAAAGTCAGATTGCCAGAAATAAAATGTCAGTTATAAGAAAAAAAAAAAATGTAAACAGCAGTTATGAAATGGTCAATACTAGAAAAAAACACCAATTGTGAGATAGTCACAATAATGTGAAAAAAGCATTGATTATGAAATATAATCAGCAGTTGCAATTGTGAGATATATTCACAATTACAAGAAAAAAATGCCATTTGTGAAATATAAAGTCAGAGATTGGCAATCTGACCAATCACAACATCGGATCTGCCATTTTTGTCCGACAAACAAGCCAGACAGGAGAGTAGATTAACGTCGGTGGACTACAACTTGAAAAATTGTGTGTATTGACGTCAGTTTCCGCAGTTGAAACAACATACCTTCTTCTGATGTTCATTCATGTTTATTTTGTGCTATAACTAGTAAAGAGGTAGAGATATGATCGGTTCAAGTGCCGCTTGAACTGAGGCGCTACAGTGATCTGTCACCACACAAAACGGTATTTATTGTTTGAATTTATTAAAAAGTGACAGAATTTGAAAGCTGAAACTTTGTTTCATACCAAAAGTAACCTGCTCTGTCTTGTCTGTTGGCGCATTGTCACTAGCTATGTTTCCATCACCTTATTTTAATTCACATTTTGAAGTATCGCATGAGAAATGAGTGATGGAAACCAATTTCGAATAAAAATCCCTTAATTCGCATAAAAGTTTTTACGCTCGCTTGAGGTGGTTTTTGACTTGTGCGAAAAAGGGTTAATCTTTCCCAAAGATTTGGGTTCCCAAACAGCAGCATCCGCCTCCGAAAGCATTGACCGCATTTATTGTGTTTCATCTGCTCGCTCTGAGCCGCAAGTAATTTATTATATATGAAAATTATTATATTCTCCTACTTTTCTTAGTGATTTACAGTGCCAGTTTATCAGGAAGTGACGATTTTGTGTTTATTCGTTGTGAAACGATGCTTGTTCGCAAATGTTTTATGCGATATTTTAGTTTTGCGCATAAGTTAAATTCGCAACTTTGGATGGAAACCCGGCGCTCAAATGAAATGCAGTGTAGGAACATAAATAATGGGGTGGTGGTGCGGTTGTGATTATGAATCAGTTCACACTTTTCTAAAATGCCTTAATTCACAAAAAAGTTTTTACGCTCGTTTGAGGTGGTTTTTGACTTGTGCGAAAAAGGGTTAACGCGAATAATGGGAGATGGAAATGCATTTTGCGAATAAATTCCTCCAAGCACATCAAAAAAGTCATGTGACTTTGTGCTAAGGGACGGCAAATCCTGACTAACCAGCGGACCGATCTTGTTCCACAGCATCTGGAATGTTGTTATGGTCATTCGGAAATGCCCGAGCAATGTTTGTCATCAAAGTATTTCTGTATAATTGCCTCCCAGAAATGTCTTACATGACTGCGTTCCCAAACAGCAGCATCCACCTCCGAAAGCAATGAATGTTTATTCGTTGTGTTTCGTCTGCTCGCTCTGAGGCGCAAGCAATTTATTATATATGAAAATTATTATATTCTCCTACTTTTCTTAGTGATTTACAGTGCCAGTTTATCAGGAAGTGACGATTTTGTGTTTAGTGTTCTCTTTGACTTGTTGGATGGAAACGATGCTTGTTCACAAATGTTTTATGCGATATTTTAGTTTTGCGCATGTTAAATTCGCAACTTTGGATGGAAACCCGGCTACTGTCCTCTTTGCTCCGCAATGGATTTTTCACTGCGTGAGAACATGATGCGTGGCGTTAGAGCAACATGGCTTGTCCGACATAGCAACAGTAACTAAGGGGGGTGGGTTTTTGCGAAGAGTCAATTGTCAACAGTAAAGTATCAATTGTGAGGGAAAAAACAACTGAGAGATATAAAGTTGCAATTACTAGCAAAAGTCACAACTGTTTTTTTTTTATTATTTATTTCTATGACTCCTATTGTGTTTGTTTGCTTTTCCCCATTATCTTATGCTAATGAAGTGTTATGCTGATGCTCCAACATAAAAATAAAAGCCATAATGCTCTGTATTTACAAAAGGAACTTATTCGGTGTGCACCATTCCCTGAAAAGTGCATTTGTTGCAGATTGGGAAGCCGGGGTGCTATCAGATGTGAGACAGAGACAGCTTTTGCTATGGCAGCAAATTGAATCTGTATATCTTCAGAATCTCCCTCTGTTCAGATGCCAAGATTGTGCTGCTTACAGACTATGTTAAATGAACGTAGACGATCATTGAGAATTGAATCTCTGTAGAATCTCTTTCTGTGTAACTACTGTTTCTGCTCTGTGGCTGATCTATCTTATTCACTCTGATGTAAGTAATCCCATCACGCAGGGATTGGGCGGAGGCGACCATGTTTGTGTGTTGGAGACAATATTAGCATGATTGCAATGCTAGCCATCTGGTTGTAGTGTCAGAATAAAGGCGCGCAGGGTGATTTTGTGGTTTTGACATTTGTGCCGGAGCTGTTATACAGAGTTAAGCTCCTCTGTGGATGAAAACACTGAATCCTGGCCGAATCCAGATGGATTATGGGTGTTTAAACAGGGGGCATGTTTTAGTGAATGTGAAGAGATTAGCGGGAAGTTTAGCTAACAGGAGATTTAGCATTGATTCCAATAGTAATTTATGTGAATGAGGGCCAAAGCTAATCAAACTGAGAGCAAACCAAACGTGCCAGTGAAAACATATTTGTCATATTTCTGACATGTTGGAAAGGAAAATGTTTTTTTCATCAAAGACAAATACATAAAGTATGACGACTTCCATTATAAAAAGCCAAGCATGGAAAGCCGCAGATACAAGCAAAATCTACCAAAAAGTGTAGGATGTTTCTCTTTGTAGCAAGCAGAGTATCTTATGTAATTCAAATCTTCAGCAGAGCTTCATTAATGTCTCATTTTAACCCCTTTTTTTTTTTTTGTAGTTTTCACACAAAAATGATGCTTGGTGCTATGAAAATCCTGTCTAGACTAGAAGGAGAATTGTGGCCGATTGTGTTTATTATAAAATACAATGTAGCAAATAAATCATTTTTAAATTCCTAATTTATTTTAAAATAACATGTTACATTATATAGCTTCAAAATACTCACTCTACTGACCAGTGTTGTTATTGTTAAGCAAAGCTATAAAAATGTATAATATAGAAATGTCACTAAACTAAAACTTAATCTAACTAAAACGTTTCATTAATTGAAACAAAGTTGAAATAAAATGCATGTAATTATTACGTTAAAAAACTTGCACTTAAAAAAACAATTAACTGAAATAAAATAAGTACTAATATTACTCAAACTAAAACTGAAATAAAAATAAAGCTAATTAGAAATATTTTAAAACAAAACAAAAAAGCTAATAAAAATGACAAAAGCACAAAACTAAATCTAAACTCAAATTAAAATAAAAACTGAAAATATAAAAATAAAAGCTCATTCAAAATATTACAAAATACTAAATTATAAGTCTTATATAGTATATAAATAATACTAAAATAACACTGCCATTGACAAGGCTGTCATAAGATTTTAAAAATGACACTAGTAGGTTGTGCACTGTATGTTAAATTTGCATTTAATTTACCTTGATTCATAAATAAAATAAGATTAAATGGATATTTATAAGGTTATAATATACTATCTATTACTCGCTTTCCACTATTCTCCATTGAATAAGTTTAATAATTATCTATGAGTTTTGTGTCTTTGTGTTCTACTCAACATATTCTGTTACACCAAATACACAAAATAATGATCTTTAAAAAAGCATCATATGACCCCTTTAACTGAAAATAACACCAAGCGCACACCCTTTCA